CATGATGATTTTAAGAGGGACTTAAAACATATTTATTTTGACATAGAAATACTTTATTGATTTGTACTTTAATGACCTACAGTGATTTCATTCATAATAGAGAGCGCTTTCGAGAATTTCAATTTTATAATGCGCTTAATAAATTGTTGATAATAATAATTATAATAATACATACATACATACATACATACATACATACATACATACATACATACATACATACATACATACATACATACATACATACATACATACATACATACATACATACATACATACATACAAACATACATACATACATACATACATACATACATACATACATACATACATACATACATACATACATACATACATACAAAACTTTTTTATAGAGTGTCATTATTCGAGAGCACGTTGTACGATATACATACATTTGCATGATATTACTTGCTTTTTGTGCCTCATTCATTTGTTGTTTGTTGGTTTGCATGTTTGTTCATTTGTTTGCATGTTTGTTCATTTGTTTGCATGTCTGCTTGTTAGTTTCAGTGCATTTTTGTTTGCATGTTTGTGTATGCATTTTTACATTTATTAATATTTTGTATTGTTTTGGATTACGTCATTAATATTTACATTTTTCTTTTCTTTTTGCTTGTCATTACAGAATCTCAAACATGAGTAAAGCAAGAAACACACATACACCAACATACAAACATTTATACAAGTATTTATACATCCATGCAAACTTACATACATATATGTAGGGATACAACAAAAGCAGACACACATACACAAACATAACATACAACCATACAAACAAACAATAAATGCTCTGAACACGCCGATGCATATAAATTGTTGGCAATGAATTCTCTCTCTTTCTCTCTTTCTCTCTCTCTCTCTCTCATTCTTTTGTTTTCTCTGTCTGTCTTTCTCTTCTTTTTTTTGCACTTTCTCCTCTTTTTCCATCCTTTCCACATTCCCTCATCTTTGATGTGTAACGTTCCCTTCGTTATAGTCCTGAATAGGTTTTCAACACTTTTCAATTTTTTTATAATTAAGCAAGTTCTTTTATATTAATTTTTTTTTTCTTTCTTCTCTCTTACTTTTTCTTTCTCTTCTTCTTCTCTATCCCACTCTCCCTTTTTTATACTTTTCTTTCATTCCTCTCTATCTCTTTGTGTTTTGATGTTGCTTCTTGAAGTGCGTGCGACGTGTGTACTAAGTGAATTGTTTCAGAGTTGGATGGATGGATGAATGGATGGACGGATAGATGGACGGACGGATGGATGGATGGATGGATAGATGAATGGATGGATGGGTGTGTGTGTGTGCAGTGTAGGTAGGACTCTTGTTGTAACATGGAAAGAAGTTATAATTTGTCGTTAATTATCCAATGGATCCGACAGCAGACAATAACAGCACACAACTTCATTCATACCGTCCACAGACTATTCCATTCTATCTCTATATTAATTTTGTATTTTTATATATGTATCAATGTATGCAAGTGTTTGTGTGTTCTGTTCGTGTGTGTGTGTCTTCATGTGTGTATTTATGTGCGTGTGTGTGTGTGTGTGTGTGTGTGTGTGTGTGTGTGTGTGGGTGTATGCGCACTTGTCTCTGTTTATCTGTGTTTGTCTGCGTGTGTTTTTGTCTACATTTGCATATTTGTTTTTCTTATTTATTTAAATGAATTTGTAAACGTGATTTGAATGCATTGAACAAATAATTATAGGCAGAAAAATGTGAGCACAAACATTCGCACTCTCACTCACACAGGCATGCATTTAGAAGAAATCAAATGCAGACACAGATGAATACAAACAGACTGAGGTAGACAGACACGGCCAGACACAGACAAACACAGACTGACGCGGACAGACGCAGACAAACACGCACTGCTAATTATTATGTATAAACACGCGCGTACTTATTGAATGGCATTATAGCACAAAACGCGAACTACGTATTCACCGGCACGAACACACACTCATTGGCCATTCATCTTGTGTGTGTGTGTGTGTGTTTGTGTGTGTGTTTATTTGTGTGTTTGTATGTGTATTTGTGTCTGTTTTTTCATGTCTGTCTGTGTGTGTGAGTGTGTTTGTGTCTGTTCTTATATGTTTTAGTTTGCGTTTTGTGTTTGTGGATTTCCATCCGTTTTAAAATACCGTAATGTCAAAAAAGTGTTATCGAGTTTTGTTCGTGTGTTGTTATTGGTGTCTTCAAGGATAACATACAAATCCATCTTCTATGAACGTACACTGAAACGTGTGTTTAAAACTCTTTACAGTATACAAACACGCACACATACACACACACGCACACGCATACACACACGCATACACACACATATACATGATTTATTTTGCATAATATTCATCTGATGTGTTTATCGTATTTTCATGCATAATATACACGTGCTTATTTATTTAACAATTGATAGTTATATCCAATAGCTGATTGATGATAGATTGATGGATGGATGGCGAAATGAATGGATTGTTGGATTGATAGATGGATAGCTTGATATATGAGTGGGTGGGTAGACAGCTGATTACATAGATGGTTAAGTGGATGGATACATAGGTGGATAATTCATTGATAAATTAATAAAGAAAAAAGCTAATTTTTATCAAATGATAACTGATGCAGTGAACAAAAGAATGTACAGATATTTAGAGATATAGATGGATGGATGGTTGGTATGATAGATGGATGAAATTTAAATTATTTAAAAATATGAATCGATGAATAGAAGAGATCAAATTATTGGTTATGGTTAGAAACTTAGACACTTAGAAACCGGACAAAGAGGTAAATAAAATGATTTATGAGTGAGGAACATGATGATGAACAAATTAGCAAGTAAGCAAACAAATTATTGGATTGATGAATGTTTAAATTAATTAATAATTTAGTTAAATAACGTTTAAATAGACAATTTAATACATATAAAAATAAGTATTTATTTAATTGTGGACAAGAGCATCCAAGACAATATAAAACACAAAATTTGGATTTAGCATAATTTTATTTAATTTATGCAAAAATTTAATTGGAAGAATTAATTAACGATCGTGCAAATAAAATTAATTGCTTGAAGAACAAATAATGTGACTAGATGAAGGAGTGAAGGAATGATTGAGTGAATAAATGCATGAATGAAAAAATGAATGAAAGAATGAATGAATACGTGAATGAAAGAATGATAGAGGGAATGAAGTGGATAAGTAAATAAATAAATTAAACGTTTGATTATATGCAACGAAACGTTTCAGTCGACTTTAAATATATGGAGATGTTGATACACATGTTCCTGCTAGATTTCTGCTGCCTTGCGTTTCTACCTCTCTATGTATACATGGGTTCGTGTTTGTTTGTTTTTGTCTCTGTATGTGTGTGTTTGGCTGTTTTTTTTCTGTGTATGTGCGTGTGTAGTGTATTTGGCTGTTTTTAAAAAGCTTTGTACATACAGATGTGTATATATGTTGTGTGCGCTTTTTGTATTTGTATGTACGAGTACAATTTCACGGATGTCTATGTATTTCATGTTTGTATACTTATTATATATATATATATATATATATATATATATATATATATATATATATATATATATATATATATATATATCTTCAGGTGTTTATGTTGTGAACAGACAAGCTAATAATGTCTGTGTGCGTGCACATGTGTACATTGCACACAACCGGAAAATAAACCTCTGTGTGCGTGTTAATAAACCTACGTGCGTGTATGTGTTGCGTGTGATAATTCCTCAGAGAGTTACATCCTGTGTGCGTGCGACAGCTGTAAGTGCATGACTGCGTAATGTGTATGCAAACGTGTGTTTGTACAATGCGAGTATGTGTGTGTGAGAGTGTGTGTTTCTGTATGCATGTTGGCGTGTGTATGTGTGAGCTATTTTGCCTATGTGTGCGTATTATTTTGTGCGTGTGTGCGTGAGAGTGAGCAAGTGCGTATGTGGTATAAAGAGTTCATGCAATTTTACGCCAAACTCCCATCATTCTTGCGTTAACGCTGGTTTATGAGCTGCGCGTGTCGCTTCTGACGTGCTCACTTCACTGCTGCTACTTCTCATGAAGGAAAAGGAGGAGAAGAAGAAGATGATGAAGAAAAAGACGAAGGAGAAGAAGAAGAAGAAGATGATGATGATGTAATGTTGTTGATGATGACGATGATGGTCATGTCGATCACTTAATTAGTAATAATCGTGTTGTTGTTGGAAAAGATAATGACGACGACGACGATGGTGGTGATGACAACGATGATTGTGGCGATGATGACCATCATGAATTCAGATCACGCAATCGTCGAGATATTGAGAACCAAGAGTGAGCGTACACAATATATAACTCGAAAGAGAGAGAGAGAGAGAGAGAGAGAGAGAATACAATGAGTGAGAGAGAGTAAAAAACAGAGAGAAAAGAGAGAGAGACTGATGAAAGTAAGGGTAGACTTCTATAAAAGTCGGAGCGAGCAGTTGTGGTATTCTGTATTTTGTTATTTAATATCTAACGCATGTGGGTATATTTTTATTGCAGAGTATTTTTAAACACTGAAATTGTTCTTAAGTATTTGAGTTATTTTTGAATGATATGTATGTGCGTGATGTATGTTGTTGAAGTTTTATTAAAACGATCCTTCAAATTTTTACTAATATTGATTTAGACTAATAACTTGTGTGCTCTATAAAAACTTACAACAATAATCTCAACAATAAAATTAACGAAAGTAATAACAATCACAGCAGCTACAATACGCTAACAAGAAAAATAGAAAAAATAACATCAACAACGTGACCAACTGACTCTGGATTGATCAGCTCAATTTCTTTGGGTGAAATTATGATGAAGTGACGATGACGTAGCGATGACGTCAATCATAATTTATCGACCGCGATCATCGTAATGGTAATTAACATCTACAACCATTAATCAACTCGACCGATCGTCTTACTTTGAAAAAGTTACAGCGAATCCAGCAAGGAACATTGCATCGAATTGCAAAAAAATTCAATAAGATCAACAAAGAAAAACATCAACATCAACAAAATTACTACTGACAAAAACAACAATATCAACGAAAAACAACAAATAGTACTAACGAACAACAACAACAATCCCAGTTGGCAACTCCTAACCACAAAAACCGTCAACAGTAACAGCCAAAATTATCAATTCTCAACAACAACAACAACGACAACAATTACAACAACGACAAAATGTCACTACAAAGTGGTTCACGCGTGCCACAACGTCAGCACTGTTACCTCTGTGACCTACCTAGGACTCCTTGGGCCATGCTGGTAGATTTCAGCGAGCCCGTCTGCCGTGGTTGTGTCAACTATGAAGGACCAGATAGAATTGAGATGGTTGGCCGTTGTTGTTGATGTTGTTGCTGCTGTTGTTGTTTTGTTTCTGTTACAGTTGATGTTGTTATTGTTGTTTTTGTTGTTGTTGTTGTTGTTGTTGTTGTTGTTGTTGTTGTTTCGTCATAATTATGGTAAAATTATTTAAATTATTGAAATTTTTCAGCGATTGAAATTTTATCTACCGTTGTATTTTTTTTATTTTAAAAACTGTCAAATTATTTTCACTGTTCACAAAGATAATGTTTATTATTGCATCAGTTGCAATATTTTTAATAGGAGAAAAAAATGTTCACCATTACTTTTAAAAGTTAGACAAATTATTTAATTGTACGTTAAAAAATGCTTATCTTACTCATTCGACGCTTGTATATTGTTCGTTCTCGTAACGCTTGTTTATATGATGAAATATTCACCTGCGAGTGGATGTATGTGTTAGAAATTTTTCAACATATTTCATGATGATGATGATGATGATGATGATGAGGGTAATAATAACAGCAATACAACTACTTTTCCGACAGGTAATTGATCTGGCTCGCCAGCTGAAACGTCTACACGGTATCGAACCCACTCGACCCCTAGCCTTTCCACCGCCCCAACAACATCCGCCCACGCATTCCAAGAATGTTGCAGTTAACAGCATCAACAGCAATATCAACAACAACAGCAGCAACAACAGCATGTTGCCACCTCGTAACAATAACAACAACAGCAACAACAACATCAACAATAACAACATCAGCCACAGCGCTAGTGACGGAGGACGGAGCGGAAGTGGATTGAACCCTCTTCCTCCTACGCAATCTAACAGATCCCAACAAAGTCGTCATAACAACCAAATAATCGATGATCTGCCGCTAAGATTCGGATTATCTTCTTACCACTCCTTGCTCTCCGCTGGCGTTTGTCCGCCACCACTACCACCCCTACCTCATCCAAACCGATCGGTAACCGTTCCTCTGGGTACACAGTCGAATCAACCGAGTCAAGGAAACAAAAAGCAGCACATTCAGTCGGATAATAACGTAGACAGTAGTAACCTTAACAACAACAATAACGGCAACAACACTAATAATTCTCTAGTAAGTCCAAATGGCCACGATTCGATGCATGTCGGTATAACGAATAACGGTCCTTTTTTTGACGGTTCAAACCATCCTACACCGAGAAATGTAACGGATACTCTGGCCATTTTGGGAGCCTGTACCCCGTTTGAAATTCGCCACAAATCAGACCCAATTGCCACTGGTAGAGTTCTGGCGTTCGAAGCCAAACGACACGGTTTCGATTTTGAGCTTGTTGTATTCGTTGAGTTACCGATCGGTTCTGGCAACGTTTTCAGCAGTGATTTAATTCAAAAACAGATAGGTTCTGAAGCATTAGATCCTAGCTTTAAAGAATTTGCTTCATCGTTAGCTGGGAGTTTGAAACATCTTCAATACCGAATCAAGCCTGATGGTGATGACTGGCATTCGCTCACAGAACTCTTGACAGACCAAGTTAGATGCTTCGTTGAATCAATTAAGAAAGAAAGTCTTCCAAGTCCGTCGGCACCCTCTGTTGAATCAATAGTTGGTTTGCAACGGTTCATAAGCGCACAGTCTGTACGTCTTGCGAATGTTTTGCAGCAAGTGAAAAGAAAATCATCAGCTGCCAGTTTGGAAGAGATGGATTTGGGTCCGATGTGCAAAAGGCTTGGTCTGGATTTTAGTCGACGACATATGTGGATGCAAGCCGAGGCGCTCAAAATGTCCTTACAAAATGCCGGTATGGCTGGAGGAGCTGGGCTACCGTCGTCAATCCTCAGTTCACCGTCTAGTCGAATCGACCCATCCGTTTGCTTTCCGCTACTTCCTCCGCCACTTTTAGTTGGATCGCTCGGTTTAAGCGGACTTAGAGATTCTCCCACAATATGCCGAATGACCTCGTTATCACCTGAAGACACAAAACGAACAAATGGATTCGATCCCATTCCTGGTCCTGCAGATCTGCGACGTCGAAGTCCTCCACCGGGCATAACAGCCTGCGGTCGTAACAGCGTGGAGCCGACAGGAGCCGGATCAAATAGTTCTGGCCAGCCGTCAATTAATCAGAATTTAGAAAATCTTCGTTGCACAATTTGTCTTGAGAGGCTGGAGGATACACATTTTGTTCAATGTCCGTCCGTTCCGGAGCACAAGTTTTGTTTCCCATGTTCCAGAGAAAGTATAAAAAGACAAGGATGTGGGAGTGAAGTTTATTGTCCAAGTGGTAGAAAGTGTCCACTCGTCGGTTCATCAATACCTTGGGCGTTCATGCTTAACGAGATCGAAACCATCCTAGGAGCTACATCGAGCGGACAATCATCGTCGTCGTCATCCTCTTCATCGTCGTCGGTGTCATCGTCATCACTGGCAGTGATGTCATCGTGCTCTAGCGGCATTGCGTTTCCTTCATGTTCAGTTTCGACGTCATCTTCATCGTCGGTGGCTACTGCGGTGACGTTCGCTGACGAGACAAAAGATTTCAAGATCAAGAAAGAGAAAGAAATTTGATTGAAGGTGACGTGCAAGAACAAGGACAACGTTGGGGGAACGAACTTGAAAATTTATTATACAAATTAAAAAAATTAACGTCATTAATAATGAGTTTAAAAAAAACATGGTAAACATTTCTTTCTATAAGCATATGTTACGTACCACGTGTTTATAAATGTGAGCGTGTAATTAACATTGTACTATTTATATAAACATAACATGATTTATTGATATTGAGTGATTGTAGACTTGTTAATTATTTATCTGCGTATGTGAACGTTGCTATTGTAGAGTTTTTTTGCTGGTATTATTCTCATTTCGTTGATATTAATTAAAAAAAGTTTATTTTTTCATTAACCTATTGATAATAAAATTATATTTTGCATTAATTTTGTATTCCTCTATCTATCATCTGTTTACATGCTGATGATGGTTAAAATATGAAGATGTATTTTATAAATTAAATAAACACAATATGTGTGCGTGCGTGTGCATACTCTTTTTAAAATAATATGATATGAATATAACAATTCATCCTTATTCAACAAATTTATTGTGTATAAAATTTTTCTTTCAAAATTGGATTAAAAAATATTTGTAAATGTCACAGTTTTCACTGTTTTTACCCTTCTTTTGTCGTAGCATTAGTCTTTGTTTTCAATCTGAAAACAAAACAATGAGACTGTTGACAAAAGCGATTGCGATAATGTTCATATTGATGGTTAGGAGCTGCAGAGAAACACAATGTAGCTTGGAATGCTACGTTGGCGACTACACGAAAGATGCTAATCTCAATGTCATCAAGTGCAACCGAAAAACTCAAATGTGTTTCACAGCTATTCCAAGTACGCTTTTAAGTGCTGCAATTATCGAAATTGTTTCTAAGAATTTTTTTATTGTCAATGAAATTTTTTATAGTAAATGAGCTATAGAACTTGTTGGCTGTCCTGGAAGCCTTTGAGCTCTTATATATGTTTGCGCCTAACCCACGATCAAAATCTGGTGTCTGTCACAGTTTTCACTGTTTTTGCTCTTCCTTTGTCATAAAATAAGTGTTTAATTAGTCTATAATTAAATAACACAGTTTGTAGCGAAAAATATGCCAGAGGGAGATTTCACATTTCATTCTAAAATTTTTGGTGTTATCATTCAAAATTGAATGTATAACATTTGTAGCAGTACCTACCATAAGTAAGACATCGGCTAGTATTTAACAAAAAAATGTTAGATAGTTAATACTAAATAAAAAATGATAAAACAAAACAATAATAGCATTTAATTCGCTGGATGGCAATGTGGACGATAATTTCATTACAAAACACAAAACAGACGGCAAGGAGAGTGAAGCATCCTACCAGGGCTGCACACATTTCAACTTCGGAGCAGAAAATGATGCCTTCATCTACAACGACAGGCTGGAGGTTTCTCTCATCACCTACTACGTGTGCAAAGAAAATCTTTGCAACAGGGTGGAAAATTATCGAAAACTGCTGGCAAAAGTTGCTAAAGGAAGACCCTTTCCATGGTTGGAAGATCTGCTAGCCGAAAATACATTTCGAAATGGAACTATTATGAAACAGTTTAATTTAATTTTAATTGTATTAGTTTATATTTTTTTCTTGTACGATTATGAATTTTTAGATTTAGTAGTTTAGATTGTCGAGAATTCACAAACTTTATCTATATGCAAATTAACATTCGACCTTTTAATAATCTTATAGCATCACATCACTAAAAGTTGTTAAAGGTAAACTTTTGAAATCAAATTAAAATGGTTCATTAATTGTTCTTAGCGGCTTTAATTGATTATTAAAAATCAAAACGAAAATGGCGGCATTTTGTGGCAATTGCCTCGTTAAGTTTATTACAAAAAATGCTTTCAAATCAACTTTTCGTTCTTACTATCGGTTTCATATTTCCTCATTGACCAAGGAAATTCCAAAGAAAACGATAGCCACAGTCAACACTAACGTCGTTGCTGACGAAGTTAAACTACCCAAAAAAATTACTAAGGAACAATTGTCTTCATCTCTCACTTTTCAGAGTGTCGTCACTCTCCCGGTAAAAGAAACTCTGTCTAAACCCAAAAATTGTGTCCTGTTTTTCACTCATTTTGAATCGGAACCAACCACAATCGACACAATTTCCTCAATTTACAATGATCTAGGTCTTGACGTCATCATAATTAAACCCAAACAAAGCCATTTGTTTTTGCCTGAATCAGGAAAATCACTGGTGGATGATTTGATTTCTAAGCTATCAGGTAACAACTTGCCATTGAATGTTGGACAGTTTCTGGTGCACAGCACTGCTTCTGGAGCATTTTATTATGCAATTTTTACGGATCAACTTAATAAAATTGGTGGGTCATTTCAGTTGAATCGAATTAGGGGACAGGTCTTTGATGGTTTAGTTCTGAACGATCCTGCTACTACACTTGGCTTCTACAGATCATCTTTACCTAAATTTTTTGTACTGGGTAAAGATATTTTTGAAAATTCAGCTCGAAATTTTATCGAGAATCCTTTAAACGTTGAAACACTCATTTTTCACACAATGGACAATGCACGTTGTGAAGAAGCAGACAGTTTAATAGACAGATGGAGCAAGTGCAACTACTTGAATATCAACATCAGTAGCTGGGAAAGATCTGTCAACAAGGAGAACTATCTAAGCCACCCAAAACAGTATGAAAGGACACTTGAAACTTTTATCATGAAAACAGGACTGATCTAACTAGATGAGCCAATTAAATGAATTCAACTTGCTTCTAGAAACATAAAGCTATAAAAATTCAACAGTTTAGTATAACAAAAAGATGTGATATAACAACAAAAAAGATTGAAAATTTAAATTGTTCTTGATTTGTTTTTTAGTGTAAAAAACCAATTTATGTATTATTATTTATAATAGCCACTAACAGATGTTGTGCTTATTTACATGTTATGCTTATTTTAACATTTTAATGAACCATTATTTACTCATTAATGTCATCGAATAACATCACATCAAATAACATCATGATCAAATCAGCTGCTCTGCCCGTTCATTTATTATAACTATTTCTAGATTTTTCTATTTTATGTATGATCTGCAAGAAACGTTTGTATGCATATGTACACCATCTGCACAATACACAGGAAGAACATTACATACAAATTATGGGTAGACAGGTGCACAAATAATTGTACACAGACAAGCGCACACATATAAAACATACCCCACTCTTTCTTATTCATCATGTTCAGCTATTTAGCTTTATAGGATTTTCGTATTTAATGTTAAATATATATATATATTATGTATATGTTGGGCGTAGATATATATATATATATAATATATATATATATAATATATATATATATAATATACTGCCGGAAATGCAATTATTAATGAAAATCACAGCATGTTACGCCTTTTTCGATTTTTCTAACGGTAGACAGTAGATCAATGTCACGTTTCTTTTGTTCAAAGCCAAAATTTGTATTTATTTTAAGCATGATAGAAACATTTAAGCATGATGGAACAAAAAAGCTTTTTTCGATGTTCCTATACCATCTACCGTTAGAAAAACAAAAAATAAACAGAAAGTTAACGCGGACATGCAGTGATTTTTATCAATAGTTGCATATATATATATATTTATTTATATTTATATATATATATGTATATATATGCTTATTTTGTAGACTAAACTCCGTAGTGCTTCGCAAACCAAAGTAGTGAAAACTTGATAAAGTCACTATTTAAGATTAATCCAAAAATGAATATTATAATAATGAAAACGATCGAAAGTGTAATGGTGATGGTCACAGCCATTTACGTTTATCACCAGCAAAGTTCGACGTGTTACTTGATGTCGTGTAACTTTTATTTTAAATTACTCCACAAATAGCAGCAGTGCCACCATTAAATCTGATTTATTTCCTTCAACAAGTCGGTGTGTCAAAGTTCCCATCATTCGAACTATCATTATCTTCATTATCTATCATGTTGGCAAGCTCTAGTTTTATCTAAATTTTAAATATAAATTATATAAGTGCCTACTTCAGAATGAACCTTGATCGTGTACTTTTTTTAAACTAAATTTTTTTTATTGTAGATTGTTTCATTTTGGTTTTTTAATATTTTTTTCGTTTTGAATAAACAGACGAAGACTTCTCTTAATTTTTCTGTATTTTTCAATTAAAAATAACATTATGAACTATTTACAATGAGGAAAATAAAAATTCTCATTAAAAATATGGAAAAAATGAATTTATAATGAACAATTTCAACTAGACATCTTCATCACAATTGGTTCGGTATGTTTTCTATTCATATCATAATACATTACAAACACACATGTACTTATCAGCATATATACGCATGAGCAATCACAAAAACGTTTGACTATTTTATTTGACAATCCAACTGATAGTCCAACTCTAATATAAACAATCTTGAAATTCATTCAGTGAACACCCAAAAATTTTGCTCGATGTATGAAATACAAACCAGCATATAAAAGTAACTTGCTAAGCATAAACGTGTTATCTATGGCTAATAAGTTCGATGTGAGACAGACACACACATACACATACATACAAACATGATGTAACAGACAAACAAAAACATCCAAACACGTGTGCACTACTACGCAACACTACAATACAGTAAGAATTGAAAAAAGTTCAGTGTAATTTCAACAATACTTCCAATCAATACGAGTGCGGTTAATAAAGAAATTTATAGAAAAAAGTGTATCATTTTAAACAACTAAGGTCTTAAGTTATAATTATAATAATAAATAATTAATAACAAAACAAATAATAATTAGTGAAGTTTTATTCTAAATAATTTCAGTAGCCATGAGAAGATTTTCTTATATGTATTATAAACAAGTATAAAATATGTAATATCAAAGAATTCAGTAACTGAAGAAAAAAATTAACACATGGAAAAATAAATAAAATTTTTATTGGTTCAATATTTACATAATGCCTCAACGAGAACATAGCACAATTAGATAAACTATTACAAAAACATTTCAATGAAAAATTAAACAAAAAACCTAAACCCTAAATGACGCAAATGTATATATATATATATATACTTTTACAATATTCTATAAATTCTACCGAATGTTTGGCGTTAACATGTTTGTAGTTCGTTAACGCCAAACATTCGGTAGAATTTATAGAATATTGTAAAAATTACGGTCTATTACCAACATGTATATATATATATATTATATATGTATATATATATATTATATATATATGTATATATATATATATATATATATATATATATAGGAATATAAGAGATTACAAAGTTGACTGTCAGGTTTGTTATTTTCATTTGGTTGATGTGTTGATTGAAAATGCAGTTGATGCATCGATTATGTGGCTGAGAGCGCATGAAAAAATGTAGGTATGATTGATAACATGAAGTTGCACAACTAAACTATCTCTTGGCATTTATATAGCGCGTAAAAATATTTAAAAAATTTCACAGACTGTTTAAGATATGTACATTAAAAACATTTACAACTATTCCGTATCCTCACATCCAAACAGTGTTAAGGGAGTATGTTTTTGCACGTATGTATGTCTGTCTATGTATGTTTGTATGAATGTGTGTTTATAAATATGTGAGAGTTTATACAAATAATAAAAAAAACAACTTCTAGACTCAATTGAAGTAAAAAAAAGAAAATTAAAAAAATTGAAAATTGAAATACAGACTAAAAAATTTGAAAATGCTAACAAGTTTGCATAATGTCATTTAAAATAGAATACCCATATATACATACACATGCACATGAGCAGCATGTACACATATATATAGGTATACATAATATACACACTACAAATTGTCATGTTAGTTTTTTGAGATGTTTAACACAATTACAATATGAACTTAACAAAAGATTAACATCTTCCTTAAGTGAGCACCTCCAATTGTAATTCAGTTCCACTTCATTCATCTTCAACAATTTTGGCGCCCCATGCTTCACGATGGAATGTAAACACTCGCCAGCTGGGAGCAGTGATGTGTCGTTGGGCAGGAGAGGTATGAAAGACGGATTGTTTGACAGAATCAACTTGACCAGGTTTGGAGTTTTTAGACCGACAACCTGTAAGCCTTTCGATCGGGAAATGTTTAAAACTTTGAGTGATGTTGACTCGAACGTGAAATTTTGAAAACCATAGCCTGAAGGTAACGTCACTTCGATATCAAGCTGCTCTAATGATACCAGAGCATTTAAAAGGTAATTGAGTCCATATTGTTCTAGGTTTTGAAATGTAGATGATTTGTTTAATACTAGAGACTTTAAATTGGTCAACTTGCTTAATGACTTAACAGAATGTATTGCCCAGTCAAATGGCACTGATAAATATTCAAGATTTCGAAACATAGCAACGAAAGTTTCTAGAAAATTTGCAGATTTTCTTTGGTCCCTACGATTTTTATAAACAGCATCCGGTGTTTGTTCGACGGGTACTCGCTGCTGGGTGATTGTAATAAATTTTACTGAATTACACTTTTCAGACTCCAAGAAACGTTTCATTTCTTCAGGATTGTTAACAATAAATTGAAAGTCAAGTTCAATATCTGTGACTTGGTGATTTCCACGATCGAGAAAATTTGAAAATGACTTCAATTTTGATGAACTTTGATGCGAACTCTTCATAAAAGTTAGATCAATTGCCCTCCACAATGTTTGGGATTTGATGAGCTCATTCCACTCATGACAAACCTGCAAACAATTACCTTTATCTGTTTCTTTAAGGAAAGAAAACACTGTCATTTTGCATACACTTGGCAGGTCGTTGAATGGAAAGAAGCCCTCACCACTGGGTTCGGCAGAAGATGTTTTTGGTTTCAAGTTCTTTAAAAGACTTAACAAACAACGGTTTTTGGTTTCAATAAATCTATTGAAAACGTCTTCCACTTTTTTTAATGAGCAGTTGTGTTGTTTTTTATTCTGAGTGTTCCTCACTGGCAGGGTAGAAAACTTTGAACTCGAATTGTAAAACAGTTGTAGGTCGTTGCACTTGTTCTTCAAGTTTTTTTCCTGAATAAGAGAAACATCTTCAACCCATTTGTGCACTAAGGCACTGCAGATGGTATTTTTTTGGCTATGGTTGACAAGCATTTTTAGATATCACGTTTTCTTTGTTGAAATTTGCAGGCCTTAAATTTAAAAATAAAAAATATGTAATTTTGTTTAAATTTGCTAATGTTTTATAATGCTAATATTGTCCTATAAAAAATTGTCTGAATCAACATTATAACCATTTCTTATATAGCATTCTAAGCATCAATTTACATTAAAAAATAGCATTAAAAACAATATAAAATGGAATTCTATTTAAAAACTAATATAATTTCAATTTATATTCAATTTTATAAATTATTGTTTGTATTAAAAATTAAAAAACTGCTAATTTATCTAATTTGCTAAGAAAATTTCATTTCATTTCATTTTATTTATTTATCTATCTTATTTTCTCTGCAATTTTATTTGTATTTTTAATTACAATTCAATTGGAAAGCAAAACTAGGTCAGTAAATACAGAGAAATTGATTCTCGGCCAATTTTTAAATTTTAAAAAATTAAAAAAAATCTAAAAAATAATTGAACATTTTGCATACTTAACGCTCTCGCTGAAATAAACATCTGAACAAATAATTAACTACCTAAAAAAATTAATCAAATATAAAAATCGAAATTTAAAAATCTAAGAATCTTTAAGTTTAAGCAAACAAAACTCACAACAAAAGATCGCTTCAGCGTTCAGAATACCTCACCGCTCAGATGGCAAGAGAACTTTCAAGCAAACCGCCGAATCAGTGAAAGTAAAATTAGGAATTAGGAGAAATATCGGCGGACAAAGCAAACGGAGATCCAGTCCTTTAGAAAAGCTGACAAAAAACCTTTTAACAAAGCCGGCTTCACAAGAAACAGTAAATATATAGAAGGATTGCATCAGCTGAAACCTCCTATCTAGGTCATATAATCAAATTAAGTAGGTCGACATGGACCAATAGCAGTGCATAATGGGCGGAGTTTACATATTTTGCAGTCATAATGTGTTTATCTAGGTTAATTATGTTAATGATATTTTTAAAGTGTGTTTTTATTTATAATTATATTAATAGATATATGTGGAATTTAAAAAATGAACCCAAAATAATAAAGTAATCTGTGTTCGGCCTGTATATCACAACTTATTTCAATAGATAAAAATAATTTAAAAACACCCAACTTAGGAAAAATAAGGAAATTAAAACCAATATACCCAATATTCATTGAAAATTATACAAATTTAACATGCCTAAATAATTTAATACCATGCATTTAGAAATAAATGCACAAAAAATGAAAAAGAAAGCTCTCGAAATTATTTTGCAAGCTTTTAGTGTTTCTTGTAATATACACACATACATACATGCACACACACATAAAACCAAATACACACACTGATGCAAACATACATACAAACACATAAAACCGATAAAAATGTGTATTATGTGTGTAAGAAATATATATGCATGCATTAGCACACAAGATACAGGCAAGGCATTCGCTACAGAAGCCGAGATTTTAGTTTGTATGCCAGGCCTACATAAAACGTTCTTTTTTCACTACGTTATGTAAATTAAAAAAAAAGGCGAATTTAAAAGACCATTTGAAAATTTTAATTTGAAAAAATTAAAAAATTGTGTATATATACGCACTACATATAACAAAACTCATGTTCAGTATTTGAATACCTATTTTATAATACACATAACCGTTTGTTTGTATCACTCTCTATACTTTCTGTGTACCTTCCGCATGTACATTTTCATCTTTCATCACTTGCATATATATATATATATATATATATATATATATATATATATATATATATATATATATATATATATATATATATATATATATATATATACATATGCTCATCCATTTTATCAGTTTGAAAAAAATTAAAACAGTAATACAAAAATGATGCACGCATGTCATTGGTACGTTATGATAAGAAGACTAGTGCCTACTATACTACGAAACAGGAACAGCCGTATAGCTATATATGTGTTGTACTATATATATATATATATATATGTTTGTATATATATATATATATATATATGTTTGTATGTATATATATATATGTTTGTGTTTGTGTGCGTTAGTGTATGTGCGTGCGTGCTAAACACTTCCACACACACATGCGTTCTGGTGCAAAAAATATAATTTTGTAACCTAGTAATTGAATAACAACTTGCTTGTATATTGCAAATACAACTTTGCGGTATATTATATGCGTATGTAGGCCGGAGTATCTTTAAGGTACTGCGCAGTTTTTAAATGAAGAACCAGGCTAGAGTAGTAGCTAGTTGAGTCGGTTGGTTTGGTGCGTGCTGCTGTGGAAAAAAGTTACAACTGATGAGAAAAGAAAAACAGATATTAACAGAGATAGTAAAAGAGAGTGAGAGAAAAAGAGAGAGGGAGAGAGAGAGGGATAGAGAGAGAGAGAGAAAAAAAGTAAAAATGAGAAAGATATACCGATGGATAATCAGGAAGAGAGGCAGTGAAAAATGAGAAAAAGATATCATGATGGAGAAATTAACGGAAATAGTAAAAGAGAGAGAAAGAGAAAGTTGGAGAGGGAGAAAAATGCGATAAATATACAGATGGATAATCATAGAGAGAGAGAGAGGGAGAGAGAGAGAGAGAGAGAGAGAGAGAGAATAGAAAAAGAAAAAAGGTATCATGATTGAGAAAGAGTTAAAGAGAACGAATAAAATGTGGTGATGACACAAAAAAAAGTGTGAAGCAGTGGAGATGAAACAAAGAAAGAGAGAGAAAGAGAGAAAAAAATGAAAAAAGAATAAAACGAAGATTGAAAAATTATTAAAAAAATGAAATTCAAATAAATTTTTTGAAAAATGACCAGTAGACAGATGAAAAAACAAAAAAGCGATAAAAAGACGAAGAACAAAGAGGCCTAATGAAAAATCAAGCGAGAAAGTGTGAGAAAGAGAGAGGATTTGAAGGATAGTGAGCGAAAGTGAGAGTTAGAAAAACAACGGCAATGCAAAGGTTGATGACCTGCTTTTTTAAAAATTATGACGCCATCATTTAGTTTATTTATTTTTTTCTCATTTTTGTAAATAAAAATAACAAAAATTATAACCAATGAAAATAAATTTTTTAATTCACATTTATTTTTTGGGTTAAAATTATATCAATAATATTATACAAGGGAGAGAGAGAGAGGAGAGAGATCGTGAGGAGAATGGGGACAGAGAGACGACGATGGAGAAAAGCCATTAAGGTGGTTGAACTGGATTTCTGAAACCACGATGACGTCATCGTCATTGTTATTATTTTATTATTGTTTATTATTATTATAACCAAAGTTATTATTAAGGTGTTGCTTTTGCTATCATTAATTTATTTTATTAGCTCTAGTCATATTTTTTGTGTCACTGCTGTATTAATAAATAGCACTTTATACTTTAATTATGTATGTATGTATGTTAGTGTAATTAGATGACACCGTAGATAATTAAATGATAAAAATAATAATTGATGATTTCACCTGTTATAAGTGTTATTTTATTATTATTATCATTATTGTTATTGTTGTTATTACTTTTTTTTATGAAGATAACAATATTTCTTATTGTTGTTATTGCCTTATCTCCCATTACACCCCTTACCATAATTATTCGGTTATAATTGTATAAATCGTTAATATAGCCCTCGCACATGCAGCGACTTCGTTGGCTACTGTGTTGCGTTGTCCTTTCTTATAACGAACTAAAGATTAGCACTGTATTGCTTATGTTTGTCATTAATGTAGGATCTTCAAAGGTAACATTGTTATTGCGAGTTTGTTAGAGTGTTAGTAATTTTAAAACTATCGCTTCTTTACAGCAAACATCCATCATCATCATCATCATTCATTATCATAATGTAATCGTCATCTATATTACCATCATTATCACCATGCCATTACGTCATATGCCAGTATGCCAATACTGGATGAAATTGGAAATAAGACGTAAAATGCTAAGGAAAAATAGCAATCCAAATTCGTCCTCACCGCTGTAGGGCCTCCAACAAAATCAACTTCTGAAGAATACCATGCAATACCGTGTAATACCGTGTAATAGTATCATGTATTAGTACATAATACCATGTAATATTACATGTATTAGTTCAGTAACATGCGTAGCTGTCTTCATATAAAAACTGGTCTCACACATAATTCTTGTACATACCTTTCGCATTACTTGTCTATTATGACTTTGTATGAATATTATATAAGTATAACTATATATATTGTATGTATATATATATATACATATATGTACGTGTGTGTGTGTGTGTGTGTGTGTGTGTGTGTGTGTGTGTGTGTGTGTGTGTGTGTGTGTGTGTGTGTG